AGGATAAGTTGAAAATCTTAAGTGGTGTTGTTCTTTTGCTGCAGTTACTGCCTATGAAACACAAACATGAGACTTATCGCCCACGTGGAGCTTATTGAGGGAAGGGACAGAAAGGGGGGTAGCTGGTGGCCAACCTAAAGCAGGGGGGAGAGAGAGAGAGAGAGAGAGAGAGAGAGAGAGAGAGAGAGAGAGAGAGAGAGAGAGAACCAGAGAGAACCAGAGAGAACCAGAGAGAACCAGAGAGAAAGAGCAAGAAAGAGGGAGAGAGCAAGAGAGAGGGCTGTGCTTGGCGCGCTTGCTTTAAAAAGGGGGGCTTGCACATGCGTAACTGAGTCCTCTGGCAGCCAGGTAAAGCTTGAGCAGCCAGGTAAAGCCTGATATAGTGATGACATGGCCATGAGCGTCCCGCCCATCATCAGGGGTCAGCAGACTGCTGATTCCCAACAAGTGGATTTTAAAGAAAAAAAAATCTTAAAGTATTTATTAAATAACAAAGTATTTACTCTCCTTTGCTCCAAAAATTAGTATTCATTCATTGATTCAAGGACTATGCATTACTCAAGGATGGGGAGGAGGCCTACTGAGTCAGGATTGGGATGCTATTATTTGCTCCCCCACAGGAACCTATATGCTAACTGCATCCCCCAACCACACCCTTAGACAATTTTAAAACATTGCTTGGAGATTCTAAGGCTTACCGGAAAAAGTAAATATTTGAAATTAAAATTTTTGAAATAGGAAAGGGGATCTATCTGCCTGGGTAACAACAAGCCCCACAAAGCCTGTGTAGTGAGACTCCTTGTGTTTAGGTACCCTGATAAGAGTTGGTCTGAAGCAGCCAGAGAGTCAAAAACCAAGCTTAGCTTTATCTTTATATCAATTTTAAGCTTTGATTTTTTGAGAACTGTCTTTCTCACTCAGGCTCCTGGCAGTCCTCCTGTGTCATTGTGAACCGCTTGCCCACTCTGCCATGGTAACGAATCACCACAGCCCTTTCTTTCATATCAGAATCAAAGGCATAGGCCAAGTTTGTCTTCAGGAGAGTAAGGAGACTAGTCTTGTCTTCTTCACTGGCAGCGGCTGCTGGAAGTCCTTGGCGCAGGGCCCCATTCTTTCAGGTGCAAAGCCAGAGGGCTCTGTGGAAGTAACACTCTCGTACCGCCTCCCTCACCTCCCTTTTCCACATTTAACAGTCCTCATGATTGCTCTAGGATCTCCTGGGTAATCCAGAGTAATCACCCTGGGCATCTGTAACCTTAGTTCTCCTTGCCATTGGTTGTTAACCATCCTCACAGATTGTTTTATTATGTAGCTCAGGACAGACTGAACTCATTCATTCACATGCCTGAAAAAGTATGCACTACTTTTTATAGAATTAGATGTATACAATGAAGCATTTTAATGAAGAGCCTTGACACTCAGAAAATGGAATGGTACAATGTCAGTCTACAAATGGGATATTCCAGAAGAACTGGCTATCAAGAGAGAATACAAGTAAAGGGTGCATTTCAAGCTACGGAGGAAAAGGACAGCTCACAAGAAGAGGCTACAGATGCTACTGCAAATCAAAGACTTGATTTTCATCTATTCCACGTAAATTGAACATCGAATATGGGCCTAAGATAAAAACCCAAAAGAAATAAATAGTGTGAAAAACTATATAGGAAAATGTGGTTTTGCACCCCTGGGATTTCAAAGTTTCCTTGTTTCCCAGTCCACAAACCAAATCTTAGTAATGTTAACATAAAACGAAAATACAGGCATGGAACCAAGGGAAGACATGACTATCTATACTAGAGACATCCAGGGCACAGTCTGTAATCCCAGCAGTTGGGAGGCTGAGGCAGGATGGACCCCAGTTCAAGGTTTTCCTGAGCTGCTGAGTGACTTCAAGCCTGAGTAACTGTGTAGGATCCTGTCTCAAAAAAGTGCTGGGAGTTGTATCATAGTGGTTAGAACACTTGCCTAGCCAAGGGAGATTCAAATCCCAGCTTTCAAAAACAAGAGACAGCCTTAATCAGTCAAGATCTTTGTGTGGCCCGATGCGGTCATACTACAGTAAAATGAGACGAACAACAACAGTTTAGTTCTCAGAAGAAATGTGATGGCAACAAGTATGGGAAACCACAATTGAACTGTGTGTGTGTGTGGTGTGTGTGCTTGCATGAGCCTGCACGTGCAAGCATAAGAGACTAGCTAACAGTACACTCTGGTAACCTTGAAGAGTTTAACTCCTTTGAGCCTCAGTTTCCCTACATACAATAAGGCTAGTAATATACCTTATCTCTTTGTTTGTTTGTTTGTTTTTCTAGACAAGGTTTCTATGTGTAGCCCTGGCTGTCCTGTGTCCTGGAACTAGCTCTGTAAGCCAGACTAGCCTGGAACTTACAGAGATCTGCCTGCCTTTGCCTCCTGAGTGCTGGGATGAGAGGTGTGTGCTACCACCACCCGGCTATACTTTAACTCTTAATTAGGGTAGAGATGGAATGAGTTACTCAAGGCATTCTGAACGATGCCCAGCACACAGTAATGGTGCAATCCATGATGGTTTAAGCTCTCTGAATCATGCACAGAACCCCGTACCCATTCATGCTCACTCACATGCTTAGGGAGATGTTCAGCATAGTATCATTTGCTATGACAAAACTGAATTATTTTGAATGCATTAACAGTCAACAGATAAATACATTTTCATACCTGCACAATATAGACTAACGGTTAAAAAGCATTCCCATTTGGTCAGGAAGATGGCTAATTGGGTAAGGAGGCTTGTTGCCAAGCCTGACTACCTCAGTTTGATCACTGGGATCTCTATAGTAGAAAGAGAGAACTGCAGCTTGTCCTCTGACCAACATACACACACACACACACACACACACACACACACACACACACACACACACACACTTTGTTCACCCCCCAACCCCTGAAAAAAAATGTAGCAAAATTTTAAAAAATGTGAGTGATCTGGGGCACCATTATGAAAAGCACAGACCAACATGTGCATATATATAATATACACCCAGAGCCAGAGCGAGGTGGCTAGGTGGACCAGCTGGTCATCAAGCTTTAGGTTCAACTGAGAGACCTGCCTCAATAAATATGGTAGGAAGTGATGAAAGAAGACATTTGACGTCAACTGTCAATCTCTGGCCTTCACACTCACAGATAGATACACATGCACACCACATATATACACATGCACATGCCAAAAACAAGGCCAACCCCCCCCCAAACAAATGAAACAAAAACAAACAAACAAACAAAAAATCCTGTTATCAGAGGAGACTACCAGGCAGGGAGACAGGATTGGGAAAGGGTCTAAGGAAGACTTTATCAAATACAGTATATTTTAAGTAAACATGCATTGTTTGAAAAATGCTTAAACATTGATATAAGACCAGGATCACTTAAAATAATCCAAAATAGACACAGGAACAACGAAAAATGAAAAGAAAGTTGTGACATTATTTATCTTGTAACTTTTATTTTTCCGAGAATGTCAGCTTAGCCATGGGCTCTCAGTTTCTTTAAACATGTCCTAAGAATGTCACAATCAAGCATCTTTCAATGAGAAACAGTCTACAATAAGTGTCTTAATTCCTTGTTTCCACTGTATATCATATTTGGGAAGTTTTGCCTGCCTGGGAAGGTAATGTTTGCAAATTTAAAACATGGCCCTTCAATATTACTTAGCTGACATAAACAAATTAAAATAAGGCCAGCCTAAGCCAGTTGTGTTTATCAACCTGATCCCCTCTGAAAATGAGAGGTGAAGTCAAATACCCTTTAATACTATTTATTAGTGGAGTAATATAATACATTTTGACAAGCTGAGCAGCTTTACCGGGCAGCTGTTAAAGTCTCTACAGGGCCTGTTTAGAATGAAAGAGCAGTGAGAGACAGTACCGTAACTGGTTCTCCGAACAGCTCAGCCATCAACTATATCCTAACCAAGTACTTTTTATCCAGCTAAATTACAGAGTGAATCCCTCAGGGTCTCTAGCGTCTACACTGCAGCTCATTAGAACCCAACAGCCAACTTTTCTCATTGTAGCACAGAAAGCATGTGTGCTTAAAATATAATTAAATGGAAAACAAACAAGCTCCTTATTTCCTGACAGTCTCAGTATTTTTAAATTGACAAAGGCACGAACTTATATACGATTATTTGGAAAGCAGGAGGAATTTCAGCCACTTACGGCAAGACGTTTGCCCAACCGTTCATCCTGCATGCAATTAGGACGCTAAAGACTTGGTCTATGAGTTCCTCGTGGGAATTAAACTTGCAGGTCTCTTACAAACGCATAATGTGGTAAGACTTGCTGTCCAATGAGGTGTCTTATTGAAATGTCCCAGGCCGTTTCGCTTGTCACAGCTGTCCTTTCAGCCACTTGCACTCACAGTGTATAGCTTTCATTACGAAAATAGAAATTTGTGTCCTAAGTGCTGTTACATTACTAATGCTAAATATTTAATTCCCCAGGGTTCCAATTATGGTTGAGTGCTGGCAACACTGATTCTGCTCTCTAATAACAACTGTAAAGGCAATTGGAGCATTTTTCAATTAATTAAATACATAGTGAACGAGTAACCTCTTGTCATTTTGCCCTCCAGGACCTGAGCTAATTGCTGTAGAATAAAATGTTTTGAAAATTAACTGATATTCTGGGCTGCACACAGTTACACCATTAAATTACAGTTTGCACAGTGAAGTTTGTCTTCTGATAGTTACACTCCATGGTCTGCAGCTGTGAGAAAGTACCTGGTATTATGGAGCTTAGCAAGGCCTCCAATTAGGGACAAGTTGAAAGCAAGTATGGCCTTTCGGAACCCATCAGTATCAATGATAGTTTGCCCTGCTCACATCACAGATAAGCAAGAGGGATTTCCACAAGGAAAGTTCCCCAGGCTTCACGAAGAGCATTTACTATCCAGCTTCAACACTCTTTAGTGTGTTCAGAAGAATCCCTATCATAATTATATTCACACACAAAGGCTAAAGTTTTCCATTTCTTTTTTATTTTCCCACATGACAAGGTTGCTAATTGAATGTCTGGGAAAGGTCGCCTTTTGAAATACTTTCTTGCAGTTTCTCGTTTCACCCTAGAACAACAGCATAAATAAGCCCCAAAGTGATGTCTCAGCTGAGAAGGATGAATCATAAAAGCAGACGCCACATTTAAAATAAACCTTTTTCTGAAGTACAATGAAATTCGATTAAAGAGCTGGTCTCCTTGCAGCAAACAGTGCTGACAGGTGTTCCTTAGCTCTGGCTCCTGATTGGCCATAATCTGAAATCCATGCTGGGAAGCGGATGCCCCTGCAGCTGTCTGTCTAGCAGGGATGATCCCCTAAACAGGTTTCACTGAATTAGTCTCTACAGAAGCACTTCAGCTCAGGAAGGAAGGCACTGAAAGTGAAATTAATCACTCTGGGAGAGAGGGAAGAAATAATAGAGAAAATTTAATCATTTCCATACCAATCTTTAGGGTTTAAATCTTTAATATTTCTAAGATTATAGTAACATCTTTGAGAAATGAATCTTAATTACAGGATTAGCATGGAAGTACCAGTCAGTTAATATAAATAGATCAACCTAAATTGCTGATCTCTTTTAGACTAAAGTGGATAATGAGGACTTCTTAGAATTCTGAGGTTGAGCTTACTTCTCAAGAACTAATGCCAAGATCATTGGAAAATATACATGGCCACACAGAAAAGAAAAATATAAATTCTTCGAAGGTTTATTGAAACATCAATCCATATGCAATGTAACACCTTAATAAATCACTGGCTTGATATATTCTGTCACTAACAATCTTTTTGGTTGTTGGGGATCATTAAACGCTCTTAACATGATAAAACACTGAATCTGTAAATGAGGACCGTTGAGATGGTTCAGTGGGTAAAGGTACTTGCTGCCATGCCTGATGACCTGGGCTCAGTCCTGGGATCCAAATGATGGAAGGTGAGAACTGTTGGTCTAACACTCCTGCCACGGCATGCATACATGTACACACATGGACACAAATAAATAATATCAAATAATATCAAATCCAGATACACAAATAATTATTTGCCAAAGGTATTGGTTTTTTTTCCAGACCCTCAAATCTATATTTTTAAACTGAAAAGTAAAGAGAATTTGCACTTTCAATGTAAGTGGCTCAGATACTGTTTGCATTGAGGAATATACCAGGAGCTAGGATGTGGCTCAGTGAGTTCCTGACTAGTATATATGAGGCCCTAGGCTCAATGCCTAGCACTGAGGAAAAGAAAGAAATGGACTGAACTTTATTCACACATGCTTATGTTCCTAGTTTTGAAAAACAATAATTTTATTAAGTGAATAATAATATACAGCTAAGGCTGAGTGTGATCCCAGCATTTGATAGATGGAGGCAGGAGGTTCTCAAAGGCCAGCCTGAACTGCACAGGGAGATGTTCTCTCAAAACAACAAATAAACAAATGCCTAATTTTCTAAAAACACCACGACTATAGTAATCATGAAAGCCAGTGTATAGTACCAATGTTCCAGTTACTGGGCCTGGCTAGTCAGTTGGAGTCAGTCATTAGATCCCACATGAACAGTTTTCATCACTGTCCAGCAGCATCTCCCCTTGGGATCACATGCCCTTGGATCAAATTCCCTCTTCCTCCTCCCTCACTGTGACTTAGCATACCTCATGTGCAGAGAGTCTGGCAGCCAATCTACACAGTCACAACAAGGTCTTACCTATTATTCAGCCACACCTGTATTTTGGAGTAGTAAGCAAAGCCCATGGGCCTTGAAAGCAGAGGGTCCAGGTCCACCTGAAGCTGACAACCGTGGTTCGACCTGTGGCCAGTTTCTTGATTCTTAGGCTCCTTTGGTCTCCTATCTCAGAGAAGGGGACAGCTTAACTCCTGAGTGCCTGAAGACCTGAGGAGACAAACCGGCAGAGATGCTAGAGCAAGTGAAAGGGAGCAGGCCTATAAATTCCCGAGGCTTCCAGCCTAAGGATTACCTGCTGGCACACCCACCAAAGCTTTTCACAGTGACCATGTCAAGAACAGGACAGGGTGTATAATGCACCCATAACAGCATGCACAGCAGACAGGAAAGTCAGAGTCACTATGGGCCTAGAAAGACTTTGTAAAGAATTAAAGCATTACATTTAGTTCCAACAGAGTACAAGCAGGAAGAAGGTCTGCTTGGGATTTGTAAGTGAAGGACAAGAGCTAAGGATGTGCTCACTGGTAAAGTGCTTGCCTAGCATGCACAAGGTTCTCCATTCCATTGCCAGCTCCACAAAGACAGATAACAGAGAACTGGCAAGACAAATAAAGACATTGTTTAGTACACTGAACTTTTTGTACAGCCTGTCTCAAAGCTGACTTTCTTATTCTAGAGTGTGTTCAACATCTGAGGCTTAAATCTCAATGCTCCTCTCCCCTGGTTAGAATGGGGCTATGGGACCTCAACAACTGGAAAGGAGGAGCCAGGGCAAGTTCCCATCCTGCCACTTGAATGGTTAAAAACAAAACAAAACTCATAGAAGTGAGTGGCGGTCTTTAACTCAGTGCTTGCAAATGACCATTCCACATCAGACTCCAGTTCTATTACCTGGTCTCCAAGCCCACAAAGCCCAGGGCATAGGAGATCTACAAGCAGGGCCAGGAGAAATAACCCTGGCAGCAATGGAGGGCACAGAACCAGTTTAAGAAATGTCAGAAAGGCTAACAAAAATGATACCAAGTCCTCTAAGGGACCGAGTTTCACAGTCCAGCTTCTACTGATGATGCTGAGTTAGCATAGACATTTGTGATACCCTGCCCATTATTTCAGAGGTGGAGAGGCTCCCTTAGCAAGAACCTCAGCACCAACAGCCACTGCTAATTCTGGGGACTTGGCTATCCTGAAAAGCCTCTCCTGAGGGCTGCAGATCATAGTGGTTTGGGTGTACTTAGTTTTATGGTTAATGCACTGCAGTATAAATAAATATAACTTAATATAAGCATCTCTTCTGAAAATATGTATGCCATAAAATGACAAATAAAATAGGTCAATAACTAAGCCCATAGTAAATAACTCAGGCATAACATTAGCATGAACTAAGATAAACCGATCTTCTTCAAAACTGATGATAAATTTATTCACAATGGAATTTCAAAATGAAAAGCTAACTGTGAACTTACACACACTCCACTTCAGGTGAGAAGAGATCTTAGGAAAGCAAACACAGCTTATGCATTTGTGTGCTCAAATAACATCTGCACGGTCTGCTTCAGTGTCCTCTCAAAGGCACAGTAGCTGTTAATAACCTGTCCCAGAGCACAGCTGTAATGTGCAAGCTACTTAAATGCCAGGTAAGCACAGGACATCAGCCTATTGTCAACTTTCTTTGGGGGATGTTCAGAGTGAAAACAAGGGTCTGCAGTAGATACTGTACACTGACTTTGATGGGAGCTGAAGCAAAAGATACTGGGTAATAGTATCTTGTTTTGGTTGAGTTTAATAGTAGAAGGCAGTGATTGGGCTAAAGAAAGTTGGAGTAGGTGATGGGAATGTAGGTTACCTCTGTTCTCAGCACCAAGTACATCCTGAAAACCCCAACTCTCCTTCTCTGAGCAACCCAGAGTTTAACCTTACTTTGTACCTGTAAGACAACTGCAAGATGAGCTGTCCTGCCCCAATCTTCATTTTCTTGACTCTCACTCCCATGCTGTCTTCAAGGTAGAAACACTGCTAGAGCCCACTGCTTTGTTTTGAAGTTTTAATGTGCTGCGAGATTCCTGTCACTGAAATGAGATCCCAGAGAAAGGAACTTACAAGGAGGAAGGGCTTATTTTGGCTCATGGTTTTAGAGGTTAAGTCCTGATGAGTGGGCTCCCTGCCTTGGGCCTATGGTGAGGCCACATATTCACAGCAGGAGGGCATAATGGAGCCAAACTTCTTACTGCAAGTCAGGGAACAAAGAAGAGACCAGAGTCCCACTGGTCATAACACTGATAACCTCTAGGCACCCCCCCCCCATTCTCACAGGTCTGTGAAAATTCATGCATACAAAATGGCGCCCAATGTGGGGCTTGAACCCATGACCCTGAGATTAAGAGTCTCATGATCTAGTGACTGAGTTTTCTGGCCTGATAGGTCCCAAGGTCCTTGAACTTCAAATGAACATACAGATGCTACATTAATTATAAAGCCTATGATTAGGGCTTCTTATTGGCTAGCTGTCTTAATTATTAACCCATCTCTATTAATCTAAGAATTTCCATGTGGTCTTATCTGACTGAAGAAAGGTCCGGACCTGTTATTCCTTCCTCCACTACATGGTGGCTAAGTGTCTCCACAGAGATGAGAGTGATTTCCTGTTTGTCCCTGCTTATATCCTGATTCTGCCCAGCTACATTACTTCCTGTCTGTACAGACCTCCAGACCTCTATGGTTAGCTAGTGGCAAGCTTCATTCTCTGACCCCCAGAAAGGCTTTATTTGTGCAAGAAAGATATCACCATAGTTTTGGAGAACATTTCATATCTAAACTGCAGAAACTGTGGGGAGATTTTTCACACATTACAGAATCATAAACTGGGATGAAGAATAATGTCAAATTATAAGTCTCTCCATGCTTTGTTTTGTTCCTACTTTTTCCTTTTGTCACAGTTTATTTTTTTAAGCTGCTTTATAATTTTCACCTGGCATATAAAGAGCTTGGAATCACCCCTGAGAAGTAAACTGACCAATGTGAAAAATAAATGACTTCTATTCAACCTGAGGCCTCAGAGAAAAATGCTACCCCCTAATTTGGAGATAGTCAGGGAGATAAACACAATGACTGTTCATAGCAGAGACCTCTGGGAAATGCCCACAGTAGGAAAACCCAGGCTGGGACTGGCCAGCTGCTTGAGTCTTGCATTCAAATTTGGCCAGGAAGAACTAGGAGAGTGCAGGCAGCTGGAAACCATGCTGTTGAGATGACTCTCCACGAACTTCGTCAAGCTCCAGAGAGCCAATACTGGAGATAAATCTTCCTTGGGCTTCTTTCTGGCAGGGGAAAAAGAAAGTAAGTACTGTGAAATATGCCAGAACATTCTATTCCAGTCTGCACCTGGGAGGATTTGCCCAGTAGAAGAGCTTCTTAACCTAGTCTAACCTGCAAGGTTCCATCTGTCAGAGCCCAGCTGACCCATGGTCAGGCTCATTTGAGCTCCCACAACACCTAGCTCTGGCCATCCTGGCCCACTGAGTAGAGATGGCAGGGAAGGTGCAGAGCTGAAGCTGAAGCTTCACTAAAGGCTGCAGTGTGCTTCCCCTCCTCTCCACACTTCCCTGAAGGCTACAGTTCCTGTTACCCTGCTCTTCACCCCAGCTGTCTGGAGGAAATTACAGGGCATTGCAAGGAGCAGAAGTGCACTTTGAACAGCTAGAGCTGGGGCCAAATCGAGACAGCAAGGCAGACATTTAAAGCTAAGGGAACTACTGTGGCCTGAGTGATCCTGTCACCTCCAAAGCTCTTGTGTTAGAAATGCAGCCCTCAACAGCATTTGGAGGCATCTCTGAATGGGAAGATGTCATGAATGGATTAATGCTGCTATAAAAAGAGCTTGAAAGAGTGGGTTCTTCTTCTCCCTCTGCTATGTGAGGACAGACCGTGAAGGCCTTCACCAGCCTCCAGAACTATGGAAGTAAATCCTCTTCCTTCCAATTACTCATCCTGTCACCCTGTTATAGCAACACAGGTCAACTAAGACACTGCTCGGGCAAACAAATCCGATGGATAAGGAAGAGGGTGTGTGAGGACAGAAGAGAAAAACAAGCAGAGAGAAAAATTCAAACGGGAACAAAATACAGATGCTAGAGATCCAAGAGAAACAGAGGTGTTTTAATGCGTGTATCAGACCAAGGAAAGCCTTCTGGAGCAAGGAGATGCTGCATTATAAACTGTCAAAACTGCAGCACATGGAACAATGGCTAAAAAACAAATAAACTAACAGCTTGAGCATGAATCCCAACACTGAGGATACAGAGGTAGGTGGGTCTCTATGAGTTTTTCAGGACTGCCAGCACAACATAGTGAGACCATGTCTATGGAAGAAAAAAAGCTAAAAGAAGTATTATAGAGAACATGGAGAGATGTATAGGAAAAAACAAAACAAAACAAAAAAGACAAAAAAAAAAAAAAACACCTCTTGGATCTATAGATGTTTAAAAAGGAGTAATATTGGAAAGAAGAAAGTGAGGATGACAGAGGACAGATGACACTGTTACAACAAACTTGATGCCTGGGTTACTGAGGCAGGAGAGATGCAATGAGGGATGAAGAAGAAGTGGCTCAGGGAGGAGACACGGGAAGGCAGTCAAAGTCATACACCTATGCCCAGTCAATGGAGAGCGCCAAGGTGGAGGGCAGTGTGCCAGGGGCAAGCATCTTTGAGGTCCAAAATGGAGCCTAGCAGCAGAAGCCAGAGACACTGTGATATGCACACTCATGAGAACTGTAGGTTACAAGTTGTCAAAAAGCCCCTGTGATTGCAAAACAATCAGATGGCATGGGATCTCGGATGAGACCGTGCAGACAGCAGATAGGTAGACATGTCCACAGCTTCCCAGAGACAGAAAACTAAGAAAGGAAACATTTCCCATGCAGAAGAGGCAAGACAGGGCTGGCAGGGTTAAACCAGACCAGGAAGGATTGTTGAAAAGTGAATGGAGTATTTTGTAGTATGGAAGAAAAATAGGAAACTATGGTAAAACTGGTTGACCAGTAGGGGAGCCCATTCCTATGAAAATGTGGAGCTACCAGAATCAATATTACTACCAAATATAAAATCACGAGTATTTTAGTTTTAATATGTATTATAACCACTTGGAGTAAGTGTGTGACTCAGAAATTTATAAATAACTCAGATATTTTTGAAGACACAGACTTGTAA